AAGCCGTGACTATAGCCACCTTCCCTTCAAATCTCTTCAACCGGCGAAAGAAGAGGAAGAAGTATCTACTGTACAGGCTATTGAGAAAGACAGAAACGGCGCAAGGAGAGGCCGAGAGGGAAGTGAATGGGAGAAGATGAAGTAGGGTTGATTTGGGAGAAAGGGCGGAGGTCTGTTGATTGTCGAGAGGGAGAGGAGAGAGCGAGAGAGGGATTTTTGTTTTTTTGGGCCAAAACGACGTCGTTTCGGCGGACGAAATTGGGAATAGTATTTTCAAAAGTGGCTCTTTTATTGTATAGGGAAATAAGGAATCGTTATAGAGTTTTGTAATATTATCAATTAGAGCGAGGGGTTGGAGAAAATAGGGGGGGGGTCCAATTTTCATATATAAACTTATTTTCATTATGATGAATTACTCTAGCGATGAACGAAAACACAATCTCACGTTAAAGTGAACCTCTATAAACCTCATATGTTCTTACGTGTCTTTTTTTCTATAATTTTATTACTTTTGATAGTATATAATTAGAGTTTCTAATTCTTAATATTTAAATGAGTCAGAACAACGGAATTTAATCCGTAGAATAATGCACGTGTCAGGGGCACAGTGGCCCTGTATGTGTAGCACCGTTCTAATCCAGATAACCTTGGGCTTGACCGTCTTTTAGGTTTGTGACCATGCCGAGCCATTGGCTCGTTTCATTTTTTATTTTTTTAGAGTTAACTTATTAAAGATTACATAATTAAAAGCATGTCAAGAATTAAGAAAATTAGTGCATGTTTAGCGAAGCTTAGAAAATTCTCGTACATTTTTAAGTAAATTTTGAAAACAATAATTATTATCTACAGCTAAAAATAATTAAATTGTTTTTTAAAGTAATATTTCCATTTGCAACTAGGCCTCCATTTGGTAGAATTTATAAACAATTTAATTTGTAAATAAATAAAAGTAAGTATTAGTGAATAGTACTCGTGAGTCCATTAAAATGTCTGGTTGAAAAAAGTTAACCATTTATAAATAATTTTCAAATCAGCCAAACAGAGGTTAAATTATAAATTTATAATTATTGCACTTATTATCTTTACACCGGTCACGTTAGTCTAAAATTAGTCGTAACTTTTAGAATGAATAATAATGATTTAACGAAATATGTGGATAATAAATAGATATTATCTACAAGTGTATGGTTGAAATTAGTCCTTTTTTTATTTAGATAAAAACTAGACTTTAATAAATTTGATGAAATATGTGATTGAAAAATTGTGAATTCAAATATTGATCTTAATTTAATTTCAGTAAACTTTTTTAGCCCGTTTGAGACTTTTTTTGGGAAAAATATATTTTAAAATAGTGATTTTGTGACGAATGTTAATTGAAAGGGCGTGTTCGATAGAGATTAAAATCGGATTAAAATTGAAAAACTAGTCGTTATTGTTGACTTTTATTAGACGAGTGAGATTCAATAACGGTTATATTTTCAATTTTAATATTTACCAAATGAGCACAAAATGAATTTAAAAAAAAATTAAAAATGGAGCTCAAATTTTGAGCATGTTTGGTTAAAATTGAAAAATTAGGCTTTATGGTTGACTTTTATTAGAAGACGTGTGAGACCAATAACGACTATATTGAACAAAACATGACGTTTTATGTTTGACTTGACTTGATAAAAAAATATTATTAACTTTTCGAGAAAATACGTACAAGTCAACTTTTCTACAATCTTCCACAAGCTACTAGACCTAACTACTCAAAGCCCTTGCTAAAGAATTCTTCGAGAACAATCTCCAACCAACACAAGAGTCCTGCTGACGCACTTCAATACGAGCAAGAATCCAACCCCTCTCGATAACACTTTCCGGAATTTTCAAGAATCCACCCACAGCTAATTTACCTTCCCAATTCACAACCCTTATAAATAACCACAAGCATCACATTTTTAGTCATTTATATCATACAGCAAAATATTCGACGAAGGATTACAGCCTAAATTACTGCCTTCCAACTTAGTTCAAGTTTAATTCCTTCAAGAAAATGTCTGTTTTTCCATTATTTTCCGACCCATTTTTCTCTGAGCCATTCGGATTTGGGAGCACTCCCAGTTCCTGCAGCATTAGCATGGACTGGAAGGAAACACCAGAAGCCCATCTCTTTAAGTTTGATCTTCCGGGTGTTGCTAAAGAAGATGTAAAACTTCAGGTTCATGATGACAGAGTGCTCCACATAAGCGCAGAAAGAAAAGACGAGGATCATAGTGAAAAGGATGATTATAAGTGGCACTGCAGAGAGCGATTTGATTCTGGGAATTTCTTTAGAGAGTTTAGATTACCAGAAAATGCATTTGTTAATGAAATAAAGGCTTCCATGAGCGATGGAGTGCTCGTGGTGACGGTGCCTAAAGACCAGCACAAGAAGAAGAAGAAGAAGCCCATGCATAAGGCTGTGGAAATTGCCGGTGAAGGAGAAAACGATGGCTCTGCTAAAGGAATTGGGCGATTTGTTTGCTTCAAAGCTTGATTTTTGGATTATATGTTAAAAAATCAGGGCATTCCATGTTTGTTTGAATATTGAAATGCTTGGTGTAATAAGGTGAATTGAAGTGTTTTGAGCTTGTAAGTAATTTTGGTGTGGTTCTTGTTTCTCTTAATTTCTAAGATGTTTGATTTGTAATACATTTGTAACATTCGAAAATCTCTTGTTTGCATTGCCTGATTATATGTCATAAGTGCACACCACCCAAAATACCAGAAAAGCAAGTATTAACCATCTTATTTGTATATCCCTATGTGAAAAAGTCAACGGATACTGGTTTACACTGAAATAGTAAGAGTTGTATCGAATTTGTGATATATGAGCAGTTGAATTCATTTATCAACAGGGATATAGAGAAGGGGGATAAGGCATTTGTGATATTTTCACGTTTTATTCTTATGACTTGGCATTAATTCGCTGTTTGGTCTAAATTTCTTTTATTTTTTGGCTTGTCGTGTGACATAAGGGGAGATGCATTTTGAAGCTAATTGGAGGAGTATGGTAGTCAATGAGAAGAAATTTTGAAGTTCAAGGACTTAAGTGAAGACTGAAGGAAGTACAGGGTTCCTTCCCAAAAAAAATTTGGAAAAAAAATAATGAAAATTTAGGTCTCTACTCGCCTTTGAAAATTATTAGAATTGCTATTAGGCAAATTTATAAATAGTTTATAAAGAGAATTGTTTTCCATGAAATGTGTTCATGTAATTATAAGTACTTCTAAATGTTAAGTCAAATATTGATATTTAATTTATTGAATATATAAATTTTTTTATCGAATTCAGACTATGAGTGTGTTTGGTAGAGATTAAAATCGGATTAAAATTGAAAAATTAGTCGTTATTGTTGACTTTTATTAGACGGGTGAGACCTAATAACGACTATATTTTCAATTTTAATTGGATTTTTAGTGTTACTAAACAAGCTTTATATTATAATACAGGGATCTATGAGAAGCTGGATGGATGTTTAGCAAAGCTTTAAAAATAAGTTGAATTACTTCTAACAAATTATATAGTTACTAAATTTGCCTTATTTTTCAAAATTAGTGATTATTTTAATCATTATATTATTCTATCCTAATATCCTGCCAATATATACTTTTTTGCATCACAAGTTCCTGATAAAAAAACATTGTTTCATAATAAAACAATAATTATCTCCTTTCGAAATGAAACCTTCGAATTTAAAGGTAGCTATGAATTATTTCCAACAAATGTTAGGCTCTGTTTTATTGCAACGAATTCTATGAAAAATGTCACATTCGAGAAAAACGAATTATACTTTGACCGTTTGATTGCAACGTGGAAATGAAAATCGAATCTCAAGGCACAACTATATTAAGCTGCATTTTTTTTTCATGGAAAATGAATTCACATGGGTTTGATAAGTTTTTATTTTCCAACTAATATGGAATTGAAATTCTTTTCCACATTTGCCTATCAAACGGACCCTTATTGTCATTACTTCTTTTCAAAAGATTTTTTATTTGATATTAAGAGCGTGTTTGGTGGAGCTTTTTAAATCAAAAAAGGGAATTTTTGTACTGTTAATTTTTAAACTCAGTAGTCATTGTTGACCCCATGTCTCACATGTGGGAACCACAGGTTGAAAAAAAGGGTAATTTTTCTGCTGAAAATCTGATGAAAATTTCTAATAGACACACCATAAGTCTTGCCTCTATTGAAAAAGATTTTAGTTCGGCCTCTTTTTGAATATTATCAATATATTATACATTGTATTTTTATTTTCTCACCTTTTCTTCCCTCTACTTTAAGTACTAAATGTAGGGGTGACAGATACACAAATTGGACTAGAAATCGAATTAAAGTTGATTGAACTGTGTGATTGAAAAGTAAAATTGTGAATGCCATGAAATATATTAGAATTAACATTATTGGCTTTAACTTAAATTTATTTTTTTAACTAAATCAAACGGCTTAAAATGGACTAATAAATGATTTCAAACTGGAAAACTTATTTTGGAAGTCCATGATGTACCCTTCACTAGTTGATCCAGTTGTAACACTGATACGTGTGCAGATGCTATCTGGCAATTTCAATTTTGACTCGTAGACCTTTCAACATGTTGGCATGTCACCCAACGCATAGTGCTTCTCACGTCAAAAATCCCACAATCGTATCGCTACACAAGCATATAAAAACTTCCAAGAATATGCACCATACAGAAACACAAACTGCCAACAAAATAATCAGTCCATTGCACATTGTAGAGAGCCAACATGAGGTCGTCGTGGTGCTGTGTAATTGCCTTCGTCCTCAGTCTTCATCTGTCCAATTCTGCAGCACAGACGCCTCGGATTCCTAACAAGACTAAGCCACGGACAATGCCAACGACTAGACCTGCAGCAGATCATCTGTCCACAGCATATTATGCAAAATCATGCCCAAATCTTGAAGCCATCGTCAATCAGAAAGTGAATGCTTGGATTATACGGGATTCGACAATTGCTGCTAGCATTATCCGCCTGCATTTCCATGACTGCGCCGTTAGAGTAATTAATTTCATTTTCTAATTTATGTTCTCTAACCAAAATATGATTTATGTTACCGCATCTCATATAAGTTTGGGTCGTTTCTCAGAGTCTAACCAAATAAGATTAATTCTAGAGTTCCTTAGGAGTTTGGACCGTGTCCGTGTCCCAGTTGATCATATATACACCTTTTATGTTTTATAACGAAATTATGATATTTCCATTTGGAACTAATTGTTTTGATCCTTATTGCTGCCTCGTGTGGGAATTTGGGCCGTGTCTGAGTTCCATAATTCCATTGTGGGTGATCATGTATGCACTTGTAGGGATGTGATGCTTCAATTTTGCTGAATCATCTAGGCAGTGAAAGAAGCGCCCATGCAAGCAAGACACTACGAGGGTTCGCATTAATAGATGAGATCAAGGCCGAGGTGGAAAGGCGGTGTCCGCGAACTGTCTCTTGTGCAGACATACTCACTGCCGCAGCTAGAGACGCAACTATTCTTGCAGGAGGTCCTTTCTGGCAAGTGCCATTTGGGAGGAAAGATGGACGGGTATTGTTGAACCATTTCATCTAAAAGTTTTAAGCCATTACAGATCTTAAATGACATTTTTTCTTTTGTCCATTTAAAGCCTGATTGGTGATGCTAAATTTTGTCTTCAACAACAGGTATCTCTTGCTACAGAAGCCAACATGGTTCCCCAGGGGCACGAGAACATCACTTCCTTGATTGGCTTATTCCAAAAACTCGGTCTAAACATACTCGATCTTGTTGTCCTCTCTGGCGCACACACCATAGGCAGAAGCAGTTGCTCTTCTATTCAGCAAAGGTTCTCCAACTTCAATGGAACAAGAAAACCTGATCCATCTATTGATATCAATTATCTGAAATCTCTGAAGAGACTCTGTAAATTGGGCACTAATTTTGTTAACCTTGATGTCACAACTCCAAGGACATTTGATTTGGCTTACTATACAAATCTTGAAAAGAAAATGGGATTGCTGTCCACTGATCAATTGCTTCATTCAGATTCAAGAACTTCACCTCTAGTTGATGCCTTGGCATCTCAGGCACGGCTCTTTACCAGCCAATTTGCAGTGTCTATGGTGAATTTGGGAAATGTGCAAGTTCTTACTGGCAAAATGCAAGGGGAAATAAGAAGAAATTGCAATTTTGTCAATTCTTGAGCATTTGTGTCTGCCTAAATGTTTCCGCCCGTTGATTCTTCTGCTTCTTAATGTGTTTGGAAGTTGTTTTACTTTATAATTATTGTAATATGTTTATGTCTGATCAAGTAATTAGTGTTGTATGTGTCTAGGGTAGAGTATATTTATAAATCGGCCTGGCACGATCTAGTTTGAGACCGTCCGTGCCGGTTCATCCATGTCATGCCTACAACGTTTATAATTTCTTCTTATTTTGAAAATGAAGGGAATTGGAGTTTCATACACAGACAATGAGCCTTTGCAACCATGCTTGGCGCAACTATATAGAAGAGATGCGTCGTACGGTGATAAATTAATCGTACTTTTCACTTGTCAAGTTATTTTGAATATGTACAACCAAGTAATTTGATACCATATTTTAGGGTAAATCTCGACCCAACATCTAATTGGGCGCTAACCGCCAAGTGACCATCGTAACATAATCTAAAGTTTGAACTAATTTCAACTCAACAACAGCAACAACACTTACACACTCTATCAAGGTATGATTGATGTTAGTGATTTAGGGGTTGGAGTGCATCAAAGTTTACAACCAATTCATTCACATAATTCTCAAGAGATGAGACGTGACAATTAAGTACCTTCTCGACTCGTCTCTATATTTGTTCCTCGAGACCCTTCCATTTTAAGGTAAAAGAAAATATGTCTCTCATAATTATTCATAACCTCAAACCCTTGATTGAAAATCGTAAATCGATCTCTACTATATCTTGTGCATAAGTGTTAATCTTCGAACTTTGAGCTCTTTAATTTTCTTGTCGATGATTAAAAAATGTAATAGAATCTTGTTCCATGTTTAGCTATGTAGATTTTTTTAAAAAAAAAAAAATATTAAAACTCTTGTATTAGGAGGGGAGATTTTGTTGTAAATTTATGAAAAATGAAATTTGACCAACCTCTATTTTATACCATTTACTGTTCCACATATTGCATGAGTTTAGGGAGTTTCGCCGTTGAACCAATATCAACATTTCCACACTAATTTTATTTATTTATTTTTACTTTTTTTAACGTTTTATCTTGTAGGGTGTTGAAAGTGATAGTATACTGCGATTCATTCTTTTTATTTTATATATTATATAGAATAAATCCTCATATACATGAGATTTATTCACAGGCCCCTCACAAGGTGGCGATCCCACATGTAGTAAGAAAAAAAATTGTGCAGACCCCACCATGTGTGTTGTCAGTATAACACTTGTAAAAAATATTATGTACTCCAACTCTCCAAGTGAGGTTCATATATATTACTCAATTCAATAATTGAGTGACTTTATTTGTGGTCCGTGGGTGAGTAGATGGATCAATCAGAATTTCCATTACTTGATCGAGATTAATATTTATATTATAATTTAATTCATTTAAAGAACTATTTTTTTTCATTTATAGCACTTACATCTCAAATTTTTTGATATGTTTTTATTCTCGATCTTCACATCCCGTCTTTAATAATGTTTTTCGTCCAAAAAATTTGTTGAGAGAATATAAAACGATTTATTTATCATCTTATTTTAAGTAATAAAAAGAAAATATTTTTCTCTCATTTCAAAAACACGCTAATACAATATTTTTATTAAAATTATGTGCTAATTAATTATTAATTAAAAGTTAAAAAATCATCAAAATTCATAAATATGATGCAATAAATGAATTTAATTATAACTTCAGGGTCTTAAAGGAGAACGTAAATTTCAACTTTAAGAAGCCAAAATCCTTATCCAAATCAATTATGGCGAAGAAGGCGGTGCTGATCGGGTGCAACTATCCAGGAACGAAGGCTGAGCTGAAAGGATGCATCAACGACGTGCGGAGAATGTACAAGTGCTTGATCGAACGTTACGGATTCTCGGAGGACGATATCACGGTGCTTATAGATACAGATGATTCTTTTACGCAGCCTACTGGCAGGAATATACGCAATGCACTTGCCGATCTGGTGCGGTCCGCCGAGCCCCGTGACTATCTGTTTGTTCACTATAGTGGGCACGGCACCCGCGTTCCTGCGGAGACCGGCGAGGATGATGATACTGGATATGATGAGTGTATTGTTCCTACTGATATGAATCTAATCACAGGTAGGTACCTGATTTTTCTCTCACTCTCTAACGATTTGATGATTTGTGTGGGTGATTATACAATTACTTGTGCTAAGTGTTAAAAAATGGTGTGGGATGCTGGTAGATGGATCAAGATCTGAAGATGATAACTGTGAATTTCTGATCAGGATGCAAGATCAAGATAGAACGTTACAGGGCGAAAATTGTCCATTTTTCTATTGACCTGTCTCTAATCTTAGATTGTGTGTTCGCGGTGAGTGCAGAGTGCTTGCTTATGATCTAACTCCGGCCCTGGCCTGGCTAATAGTCTAGACCAAAAGTTTCTAAGGATGTAATTGCTTTGAATATTTAATTAGATGAATTGTAAAATAGAGAGAAAGGATTAAACTGGTTCAAATTTGATGGACAATTGAGTGGTTCTGGATTACCTTGCTAGAAAACTACATTATTGCTCCGGGACAGTCCGAAATTTATGACATTCTAATTTCTAATAGTTGAGCTCTGTTCTGTGCTACCTCCACTTTTCCCCGATGTTTTTCAATTTTGGTTATGTGGTGCATATACTGCAATATATCTGCAGACGCATGTATACTTGTAAATTATATGTCTCACAAAGGCAGGGTCATCTTAACAGAAGTCGCATGTTTCTAGTTGTTGTATGTATAGTGTAAATATGATTTAAATTCACAAAGAAACTATTAGGAAAATAGTAAATGAAAATTTAATCTGGGATGCTTACAATAGAAAGATTGTTATTTTTTTCGTCCAACATGATAATGTTTATGTCACCTAAGCGAGGAACGGATCCAGAGGCAAGTCTAAGCTTCTTGGCGAGTGCACTAGACAGTTATTTGTCTTCGTGCTTTGTTTCTGCAAGATCTTAACTTGTCACAACGCTTGTTGATAGAAAGCATTTAGTCTAATAACTATTACATTCGAAAATAGGGAATTTTGGTGTTTTGGGCTCACTTGTTGGAGAATGTTTGGTGATCAGATGATGATTTCAGAGAGCTAGTAGATCAAGTTCCTGAGGGTTGCTGCATCACGATCGTGTCTGATTCTTGTCACAGTGGAGGCCTCATAGATGAGGCCAAGGAGCAGATTGGAGAGAGCACCGGGGGAAATGATGAAGATGACAGCAATGGATCTGGTTTTGGATTTAAGAACTTCTTGAAACGTAGTGTTGAAGATGCTATTGAATCTCGTGGTATTCACATTCCACCTGAATTTGGATTTGGCCATCATCGTCAGCAACAAAATGAGGATGCTGGGGAAGAAGAATTCACTGAAGGAGGTCAAGGGCTAGGCTACGTGAAGAACAAATCCTTGCCCATGTCAACTCTCATTGAGATACTCAAGCAAAAAACTGGAAAGGATGATATAGATGTCGGCAACATAAGGCCAACACTTTTTGATGCCTTTGGAGAAGACTCTAGTCCTAAGGTGAAGAAATTCATGAATGTCATCATGAGCAAACTCCAGCATCAAGGTGAAGGAGAGGGCGAGGGTGGTGGGTTTTTGGGGATGGTTGGAAGTTTGGCCCAGCAGTTTCTGCAGCAGAAGCTTGAAGAAAATGATGAGAGCTATGCTAAACCCGCCCTGGAAACACATGTCGGTCGCAAACAGGAAGCCTATGCTGGTTCAACCAAACAAGCACTCCCAGATGGCGGGATTCTGATCAGCGGCTGCCAAACAGACCAAACATCTGCTGACGCTTGCCCATCAGGAAATGCCAGCGAAGCTTATGGTGCTCTTAGCAATGCAATTCAGACAATAATTGCAGAATCAGATGGCCAAGTGAGTAAGGTCCTCGAACAAGACTTCCGTTCCCAGATGTTGAAGAGCCAGGGTTTCACACAGAGTCCAGGACTCTATTGCAGTGACCAACACATTGATGCTCCTTTTGTACGCTAATAAGGTTGTCCTTGGTGAGTTTCGAACACAAGATGCGTGCTTTGTGCTATTTTGAAGAATAATCCAATGCTGCAAATGCAGTTGTAAGAACTGTGTATAATGTTTTGCCGTGTGTTTGTAAGGAACGCTCGTGTTGGTTTGGTGCTTTTATTTGTGCTCGTGTACAATAATTATTTGGGCAAAATTGCATTATTCAAAAATTATAAATGAATAAAAATGAATTGTAAATAAGTGAATACTACTTTTTGATCTAACGATATGTATATAAAGAGCAAGTTTGACAAATTATATTTATGATATATAAATAGGTGAAACAAGCAGCATTGAAACTTCTTTTCCCAAATACACTTCGTGAACATTTGCCGAATACTTCGTTTGGTTAATTGTTAGATCTACAAAAACTTGGATTTCAAACAAAAATAAATTTTGTATTATTATGAATTGCGGTTGTTACCAGCTTCTTTGCATCAAAACTAAATCCACTTGAATATAACTCGTTGCCTATGACAAATGTGTTTATGATTTACAAATTATATGCCGAAAAATGGGGCACAAATAATTAAAGATCTTCAGTGTTGCTTTGTATCCAGTTCAGGATCATGAATCTCAAGAATAATAGCGTTTTCAATGGTGATGCTGAGGCAGGTTTTTTCAGTTGAACTCCATATTGCACACCAACTTTGCTGCATCTCGACTGTTTAGAGCAGAAAGTTGTGGACGACCCCTTGAGGAAATTCGCAAAACAAAACTTCCAGTGGGTTCCTCTCATTCGTAGATGTCTTGGACCCAAGCCAAATCTGCCAATGAAAAGTTGTCATTTTTAAAAATAAATAAGATCTAGTGCAGTATTATAAATCTAAAGTAATAATCTTCCAATAGAAGATCTTTAGGTCCACAGTATAATTATTAAACCCCAGAGAGAGAGAGTTAAACCTTGAAGCACTGAATCAACTGCTGCATTTGGGATGAGCAACCCAACAATTCGTTGATTTTCTGTGGTGGTCACTACACGCACAACTCGAATCCGTTTATGGCTTTGGCGAGCCTGCACAAAATGATGTTAATGTTCTAATTACTACATATGGCAGAAGAGTACTGGGCAAGAAAATGACCGTAAATGTTATTTGTTTTGACTTTGATGCTAAGGAGGAATATGATTTTTTTTGTGTATCCGAACTACAGTTCATCTTTTAGTTCAATAACTAAAAGTAAGGTAGGCCACTCGCTTGGTTTGGAAAAGCCAAGAACAACAACTACTGCTTCTAAACTATGGTAATTCACGAATGACAAAACACGACCTTTCCTCCCTCCACCAATGCGCAGAATCTGGAAAGGTGCCTTGGAAGATATGCTGATAGGAAGCACCACCAATGACAAAGACAACAACACCACACATGCAAACACAGAGAAAGTGAAGTGCGCAATTCAAATCCATGCCAACATTGGCAGCCCACAGACTAGCTAATAAGAGCATCTGACAGTATCTATCACTTCAATAAAATCTGAATTCGGAACCCAAGGAAAAATTATTCAGAAATGATACAGCTATGATAAAAGTCACACCATATTGCCCAACTCCAAAATTAATGCCGAGAGGAACTGATAAGTGGGAACCAAGAACATTAAGAATCATCACAAATGCAAATACAAATACAAATACTTCCACGTATTGAAGACTCGCTAATGAGCACAAGACACTGAATCCATCTGATCAAATGAAGCATGCGCAAAAAATAAAAATCAACTTACTTGCTTAGAAAGTGCTTTCTCAATAGTTCCCCACACAGGGAGGATGAGGCCACCCAATACGTTAACTTCCTGTAATCTTCTGCCAACTGTACAGAAGTTTCCTAGCTTGCAGTTTGGGCCATGCATGCACTGCAGGTAAAAGATTAGGATAAGCAAGGTACAGTTACAATTCTATTTTTAAAATATTTCACATATTTTGTTCTTTTTTCTGAATCTACCCTTCCTTCTTCATCTTTGTCCAATATAATGTAACAGTAAACCATAACTACCATCAATTGATGAAAAGAGGGAACACAAAATACAGAGCTATCAAATCATTAGACGAGATTTTTAAGAGCTGGAATGTGCGAAACAAGACTTGAATCTCAAATCATGGTAGGGTCATTGTATGATTTTTACTTGTTATGCTCAAGAAATCAATACTGGTGTGCAGACTGCAGTGTGTATGACAGTTGACTATTTGAAAATCATGCTCCCACATCTCAGTGAAACTATTCACTTCTCATAATGCTTTTATTATCAATCTAAATCAAATTATAATAAAAACCAATCAGCAAAGAGGGTGTGAGATATTTTGTAATCCAAGAAAATGATATAAATACGTTAAATAATATGAATACAATATATGTTGCATGCTCATAGCTTGAGTTTCATTTTTTTTATTTTTTGGTTGTCTGTATACATAAATATGCTTGATGGTGCATTTTCTCTCTTCTATTTCTGAATAAAGGATGCATCTACTGACTACTAACTTTTGGTCACCTAGATATGGACCAAGTGAGAGCTCAGAGATTAATGGGATACTTAGATATGTAAATGTAATAAATGATGTTTAAATGACAAAACTAAAGTCAACAGAGATAAAAAGAATGAAAATAAAACAGATCTAAATTAAATGAAATGAAATCACAGCCATCCAATAAACTGGATGTCTTGTAATCAAGATATTATAAAACTCCTCAGATTATTTTGGTTTGCATTCTTCACATGTTTCATCGACGCTGAATTATTATATTATCCAGTATCAACCAGTGACTATACCGTGCTAATATGACAGAGTATGTTGCAAGAAAATAATGTGAGGATTAAAACATCTGGTAAAATAACTCACTAACCACATTAATAATTGTTTATTACCTGCTTTGATGAAACATCATATTCATCGTCCCAACCACTACGAGCTTTCTCCAAAGATGAAATTTTTCTGTATTTGTCTTTTAATTCTGCTATAGGCATCTCCCTGGATATTGAATGAAAGCCACATAGAATGTTTAATAAATTGATATGGAAAATGATACAGAAATATCCTGACAATAATTTATTTTGGCACCTGAGGGACTCCCCTATGGTTGGCCGGAATACTTTGTACATTCCAGAGGCAGAACTGAAACAAGAGAAAAGAAGTTGCAGTAAATAAACATACTAGGCGGAATTAAAGAAATTCCAGTGGTATGGATTTCAATTGGGAGCCACACTTTCAAGGCACATGAAAGTCAGCACCACCAAATAAACCATTCAAACCACCTCAAAACTTGTCCAAAATTAATCAGATCTCCAGAAATGAGAGTGAACATTGATAAGCCATTTTTTTACTCCAAAAAGATGGGGTGGAGAAACATATTTACAGAGAAAAACAGTAGAAGAAAGTAGAAATAGTAACCTGGAGATAGAAAATTGAAAGTTAATTTTCCAACGAAACCAAAAATAAACAAATATAGTATAATTATTCTACATGGGTATCAATAATTAATAAGTTAATGTGCAATTAAAAAAATCTAAATACGAACAAATGCACCAAAATGCTCGGACATAAACAAATCCTATCTTTTCATAGCTTAGAAAGCTTGCATGCTCGTTGAATTGCTTGTTTTAGTAATATTTCCCCATAAATCCAATCATCAGAAATGGACATCATGAGTACAGTACTACATATATTGTACTACTACAGCATGAACCAACACTTGGCTGATAATCTAGAGTCATTAAAAATAGCCAAAAGGCTAAAAACCATCCAGACCTTGAGAGATGAATGCGATGCTGTCCAAGCCTCAAGGATAAAAGTTTAAAGTGATTGCTTCATATTTGAAGCAATAAATTAACCTTACTGTTATCGGCCAATTTTACAATTACACTCGACAATGCTCATTATTAAATGAAGTAAATTCAAGCATAGTGTTTAGTGTAACATGTCAAAAAAAAAAAAAATCTAAAATCCATACCCTTCAAATGCCAATATAAAATGCCGTCTTCCCAACCATTCCCGTCTGGACTCATAGAATCCATTATTGGGCGAACCAGAATTTTCTTTTTGCTTCTCCTCAAGCAAAGACAGTGCAGACTGCATGTGATGAAAGAAGTCACAGAACTATTTTAGTTATCCAATCATTAATAATATTTCGCATCCACAGAACCAAAATAATACCTCCCATGTCATTCCTCGATTCAAAGTGAAAGTGAACAGCATAGTGGATGCCCCAGACATATGGTCAACATGGACAGTCTGTCAAATGCGGATGTTAATATCTATCAGCAATTTAAATATATAAGAATGAGGATAGTGGCATGACCTTTGGAGTTCCTTGTAGTTCAACGGAGTTAGCTTTCATATCAACAATCCCAGAGTCCAATTGTCCTTCTGTACGCGCATTTTGTATGAGAAGATTAAGGGTGCTGACAAATAACTCAAAGAGCCTGCAACAGTATTAGCATTCAATACTACGAAGGCACGTTGAAGGAGCAAACATATCAAAACTTGACATCAATCCACATACTTGTTCTGAATCTCAGGTGGGAGCCCTAAAAGCCGGTTGAGAAAACGTCCAACATCATGCATGTCCGAATCAACTATTCGTCCAGAACTTTTTCCAGAATCCTTGCCACTACCTAGACAGAGAATTAGTCAAGAGAAGATTTCAATGAGAAATACTGAAGAAATCCTTTTCAAGGTCATCACTCGGCAGTACATATAACATCCCACTTAAGATTGATGAACAATGCATTAAAGTTGATTTTAACATCCAACAATAGAGAGAACAAAATGTCAACAAAATTCATTAATGCTAAAATGCAACACCGCCCCCCCCCCCCCCCCCCCCCCCCCCCCCCCCCCCCCCCCCCCCCCCCACCGCCCAAAAAAAAAGGAAGAAGAAGAACAGGGAAAAACCTTGAAGAAAAGAAATCTACATTTACTTTCCAACATATAAATCAGAAAATTACCGAAAACCGAATCTCTAATTATTCCAACAGATATA